ATCCTCCCACCTTGACCTCCCAAAGTGCTGGGATTTCAGGTGTCAGCCACACTGCCCAGCCCCTTCTTCCATTGCTTCTGTTCAGACTCATTTCTTTCTATCTCAGAAAGAGTCCTTTGGCTTCTGGTCTTATCCCCCTTGTCCCCACAATCTGTTCTCCACACTGCAGCCTGACTGGTTTTCTAAAACTCTGATTATTCATCAATAACTCTCTTGTTGAAAGCCCTCCAGTGGGATCCCAGGGAATGCAAGGTGAAGTACATTTTCTTTTCTTAGCATTTAAAGCCCTTAATGGTCTGACTCCTACTATTTCACTAACTTTATCGCTGATCAAAATCACACACAGTCCCAAAACTAATTCTTTGGTTTTGCTAACCAACTCGCTGGCCATGACCCTTCGTCCATCTATGTGTTAGTTCAGGCTGCAGCTTTGCCTGAAATGTCCTCTTGCACCGTGTTTACTTGGTGGACACCTGCTTGCCGCTAACACTCAGGATGACTTCTGCAGGTAGAACTGAGCTCTCCCAACTAGGGCCCTGAAGATATCTTGTTCCTAGGGGGTTCTTGGACTAGTCACAGTTTGTGAACCTGCTAAAACTGCAGCTTTTGATATACGTGTGTATGCACATGAGTGCACATGTATGTATTTTTCTGGTGACAGGGCCTAGGGCTTTCAACAAGGGATCTCAAAGGATCAGTTTCATGACCAAAATGTTAGGAAGTTATTTGTCTTGATCTGGGTGCTGGTCCTTAAGCACTTTTCTGTTTGCATATTATATGTCAATAAAAAGATGAAAAAATAGGCTGGGGCCAGGTGTGGTGGCTCACGCCTATAATCCCAGCACTTTGGGAGGCCAAGGCAGGCAGATCACCTGAGGTCAGGAGTTTGAGACCAGCCTGGCCAACATGGTGAAACCCCTTTTTTACAAAAAATACAAAAAAGTAGCTGGGCATAGTGGCACATGCCTGCAATCCCAGCTACTTGGGGGGCTGAGACAAGAGAATCACTTGAACCTGGGAGGTGGAGGTTGCAGTGAGCTGAGATCATGTCACTGCACTCCAGCCTGGGCGACAGAGGGAGGCTCTGTCTCCAAAAAAAAAAAAGGCCGGGCATGGTGACTCACACTTGTAATCCCAGCAACCTGAGAGGCCAAGGCGGGAGGATTGCTTGAGCCCAAGAGTTCAACACCAGCCTGGGCAACATCACGCATGTGTAGTCCCAGCTATTTGGGAGGCTGAAGAGGGAGGATCATTGGAGCCCAGGCAGGAGTCTAATGCTGCAGTGAGATATGACTGTGCCGCTGCACTACTGCCTGGATGACAGAGGGAGACATCCTGTCTCAAAGAAAAGACGAAAATATAATTTTTAAAAATAGGTAAATAAATAAAAGATGAATGGTTACGAAGCAGCACAGCAGGACAGACAGCTCTCACAATAGCCCTACTCTTTCACACATCATTGACATGTCCCACTTTTTTTTTCTTGACCACAAGCCCGTGAAGGGCAGGGACTGTGCCATCTTTGAACCCCAGGGCCTGGAGCCAGGCTTTCATCCCCTAGCTGTCCCATCAGTACTTACTACAGATAAGGGCCACAGCCATCCGCAGCAGCTTGAACTGGCACTTCATTCCTGACCAGTTCTAGGGAAAAAGGAGAGAGTTCAGTCAGTTCCAGATTAGACCACTCTTCTGCCAGTGTGTCTTGCTTAAGAAAACCTGACATTAAAATAAGGATCTCCATGAAGTACTGAAAGAGAGAGAGGGCTGTGGCTTAGCAGCAGAACACACCACATGGCTTTGAGATTTAGGCAACAGCAAGTTTACTCCTGTCATAAAAGCTCTTGAGCTGGACTAACAGAGGAAGGGACTCCAGATCTAGGAAGAGGAGAGGCCCTGTCTCCTCAACATGGACAGAGAACATCTCAGAGCTGCATTCATTGCTGGGCTCCATGGTTGCAAAAGATGCAGGACAGCCAACCAAGCAAAGTCAAAGCAGAAACACCAGGATGATAAAAGAGCTCAACATCCTGCAGATGAGGAATGAATGGGGAAGCCAGGATCTTTTAGCTCAAACAAGAGGAGACTCAGGGGTCAAGTTCATTGTTGTCAAATATCGAATGAGTCAACACAAGGAAAGGGCACATTCGATTCAGTGTAACCTGCAAGCAGAAGATGCAATGGATGAAAACTTCAGAGAGAGACTTTTTAGCTCAGAGTAAGTTTCCATTTCTAGTAAGCAGAGCTCTCCAGAGATAGAATGGTCCATCTTGCAGGGGTCATGAGTTTCCCACCATCGGGGATTTCATGTCACTCGGAAAGGATGCTCCAGAGGCGAATCAGGTGCTGGAGAGGGGGTGGCCTAGGTGGCCTTCAAACAACTCCCTCTCTCCCCTGAGAATCTCGGAAAACTTGGAACCTCCAAAGCAGATAAACAGTACAATTATTCACTTTACAAAAGGACTTTTCACTTTACAAAAGACTTCACCACAGGGTTCCTTTGAGAGGCACTCCTGCAGTGCATTCAAAGCACTATTCCATTTATACAGAGGTGCACGTGCACAGAAATAAGCCCGGAATCTTCCTGGAACACATAAGCCCCAGGGAAGGAGGGCACAACCAGGGGACTTTGATTCCCTCCCACCACCCAATCTGCCTTTGCTGCCTGGCCCAGGCCCAGCTCGGGGACATGTCTGGCACTTCTGTGACGTTGCAGGAACATCCGTGTAACTTTACAGAGGCCCTGAACACTGGCACGGACAACAACATCTATGAAAGCTTCAGTCAAGCAAGCAGGACACACAGCAGATGCCAAAGAGGGGGAAATCCTCATAGCCTTCAGTTCTCGCTCACCTCCTCCCTTCTCCCCATCCTTCCTCACTGACCGGCAACCCCTTCTTCACAGAAAGTGAAGTGTGGGCCACCCGCGGTCCCGCTTTAGGTGGAAAGCCTATCTTCGCTTGCCGACATGTTCTGTGCTAGGAAGCAGATGGCAGGATATCGTTGTCATCTGCTGGTGTCTGCCCACAGAGGAGCCTTGCCAGGAGACAAGGAACAAAACAGGAGTCGGTGCCCTCCCCTGGATCTAGCGACCCAATCTAAGCTGGCTCAGTTAGTGGATGGTGGGCACCGCAGCCTCCCTCCAAGCTGAAACCCTAGGATGGGAGGAAACTTGGGACTCATCTAATGGGACATCTCTTCCCAAAGGCGGACACCCACTGCCAAGCAGCCAACAAGATGGCCCTCCAGCCCACGTGAGGGGGTGCTCCCTGCCTCCTTGGGAGCCCTGGGAAGGGCTCTCACCCCTAACAGTTCTGCCTGCTATTGTTTGCCAGGCTTTCCTTCCCTATAATATCCCCTCCATGGGTTTCAATTCTCCCTTAAAAGTGATACCCGGCTGGGCGCGGTGGCTCATGCCTGTAATCCCAGCACTTTGGGAGGCCGAGGCAGGTGGATCACTTGAGCCAGACTCTGTCTCAAAAAAAGTAATAATAGGCCGGGCGCGGTGGCTCAAGCCTGTAATCCCAGCACTTTGGGAGGCCGAGACGGGCGGATCACGAGGTCAGGAAATCGAGACCTGTCTCTTATACACATCTAGATGTGTATAAGAGACAGCTCCAGCCTGGGTGACAGAGCAAGACACCATCTCAAAAAAAAAAAAAAAAAGTAATAATAATAATAAGTGATACCCATGTACATAGCAGCATTATTCACCATAGGCAAGACGTGGAAGCCACCCCAGTGTCCATGGATGGATGGATGGATAAATGAAATATACATACATATGTCTATATATTTGGTTTCTTTCCACCTCCTCCCTTCCCCCACTCTTCCTCACTGACCAGCAACCCCTTCTTCACAGAGGGTGAGGTGAGCCACCTGCCTTCCCTTTTTACGTGGAAAGTCTAATCTTCACTTGTTGACATGTTCCAAGCTACGAAGCAGATGGCAGGATAACGTTGTCACCTGCTGATATATACATACAATGGAATACAATTCAGCCTTCAAAAGGCGGTGGCTCACTCTCAGCACTTTGAGAGGCTGAGACAGGCAGATTACGAGGCCAGGAGATCGAGACCATCCTGGCTAACACGGTGAAATCCCTTCTCTACTAAAAATACAAAAAATTAGCTGGGCGTGGTGGTGGGCGCCTGTAGTCCCAGCTACTTAGAAGTCTGAGACAGGAGAATGGCGTGAACCCAGGAGGCGCAGCTTGCAGTGAGCCGAGATCACACCACTGCACTCCAGCCTGGGGTGACAGAGCTAGACTCCATCTCAAAAAAAAAAGGGGCGGGGGGAGGGAATTCTGACCCATGTTACAGCACGAATAAACCTGGAGGACCTTATGCTAAGTGAAATAAGGCAGTCACAGAAAGCTAAATACTGTATGATTCCATTTAAGTATAGAGTAATTAAATTCACGGAGACAGAAAGTAGAATGGTGGTTTCCAGGGGCCAGAGGGAGGAGGGGGTGGGGAGTCATTGTTTAGTGGGTACAGAGTTTCAGTTTTGCAAGATGAAGAGTTCTGGAGACAGATGGCGATGATTGTACAACAATGTGAATGTATGAATGTACTTAATGCCATTGAACTGTACATTTAAAATGTAACTGTATACTTTAAGATGGTACATTTTATGGTATGTACATTTATCACAATTAAAAGCAAAAGTACAGAAGACTTTTTCTTTTTAAGAGACAGGGCTTCACTCTGTCAACCAGGCTGGAATGCAGCAATGCAACCATAGCTCACTGCAGCCTCAAACTCCTGGGCTCAAGTAATCCTCCCGCCCCAGCTTCCCAGGTAGCCAGGATTATGGGCATGTGCCACCATATCTAGCTAAATTTTTTATTTTTTGTAGATATAGAACTCCACTATGTTGTCAGGTTGGTCTCGAACTCCTGGCCTCAAGTGGTCCTCCAGCCTCGGTCTCCCAAAGTGCTGGGATTATAGGCCAGGTGCTCACGCCTGTAATCCCAGCACTTTGGGAGGCCAAGGCAGGGGGACTGCTTGAGCCTGAGAGTTTGAGACCAGCATGGGCAACATGGCGAAACCCTGCCTCTATAAAAAATTAGCTGGGTGCTCTTTTACCAAGGACCCGCCAACATGGGCCGCGTTCGCACCAAAACTGTGAAGAAGGCGGCCCGGGTCATCATAGAGAAGTACTACACGCGCCTGGGCAACGACTTCCACGCGAACAAGCGCATGTGCGAGGAGATCGCCATTATCCCCAGCAAGAAGCTCCGCAACAAGATAGCAGGCTATGTCACACATCTGATGAAGCGGATTCAGAGAGGCCCTGTAAGAGGTGTCTCCATCAAACTGCAGGAGGAGGAGAGAGAAAGGAGAGACAATTACGTTCCTGAGGTCTCAGCCCTGGATCAGGAGGTAATTGAAGTAGATCCTGACACTAAGGAAATGCTGAAGCTTTTGGACTTCGGCAGTCTGTCCAACCTGCAGGTCACTCAGCCCTACAGTTGGGATGAATTTCAAAACGCCTTGGGGAACTGTTTGAATTTTTTCTGCAGTGCTATATTATTTTCAATAAATCTGGGACAACAACAACAACAAAAATTAGCTGGGCATGGTGGTGTGCACCTGTAGTGCCAGCTACTCAGGAGGCTGAGGTGGGATGATTGCTTGAGCCCAGGAGGTGGAGGATGCAGTGAGCTGAAATTGCACCAGCGCACTCCAGCCTGGGCAACAGAGTGAGACCCTTTCTCAAAAACAACAGGTCAGGTGTGGTGGCTCAGGCCTGTAATCCCAGCACTTTGGCAAGCTGAGGGGGGCGGATCACTTGAGGTCAGGAGCTCAAGACCAGCCTGGCAAACATAGTGAAACCCCATCTCTACTAAACATACAAAAAAATTACGTGGGTGTGGTGGTACATGCCTGTAACCCCAGCTACTCTGGAGGCACAAGAATTGCTTGCACCTGGGAGGTGGAGGCTGCAGTGAGCTGAGACTGCGCCACTGCACTCCAGCCTGGGTGAAGGGTGAGATTCTGTCTCAAAACAACAACAAAACACAAAGCGCTGGGATTACAGGCATGAGCCATTGTGCTCAGCCCCCTTTGAGTAAATACCTTATTATTTTTCTTTTTTTTTTTTTTCTTTTGAGACAGGGTCTCACTCTATTGCCCAGGCTGGAGTGAAGTGGCATGATCACGGCTCACTGCAGCCTTGACCTTCCGGGCTTAAGTGATCCTCCCACTTCAGCCTCCCAACCAGCTGGGACCATAGGCACACTCTACCATACCCGGCTAATTTTTAAATTTTTTTTTGTAGAGATGGGGTCTCCCTATGTTGCCCAGGCTGGTCCAGAACTCCTGGGCTCAAACAATTCACCTGCCTCAGCCTCCCAAAGTGCTAGGATCGTAGGCGTGAGCCACTGAGCCTGGCCTGAGTGAATATCTTATCTGAAGACAGTGTCTTTTTCACTGTGTCCTGAGTGATAATATCAGGCAAAGTAAGTTAGAATGTGTGGATGGCTCTCTCCTTTATCTGAGGTCTCCTGCCTCCATGCCCCTCCTGGGCCCTATCTGGGATAGATGTTAAACGCACCGTCCTTATGCTTGGCCTGGTTGGTCATCGGTGGGGTGGCTCAGAATTCCTTTTTCTCTATTGTTTTCATTTGTGAATTTGAG